TCTCCTCGATCTTTGCCATCACTTCATCCGTCATTTTCACACAAGCCTGACGGACCCCACCTCGCGGCTTGGCCGTCGCAGCGTTGTTCAGGATAGCACGGCGAGCAGTATTGTAGGGTATGTCGTTGTGGATTGCAGCAAGTTTCCAATCACCACCTTCGCGGAAGACACGAAGGACGCGCTGCTTGGCTTGCTCTCGAGCGTGATCGCGCAGAGAGTTTGTGTTGACGGTGGGAGAAGGCATTGCTAAAGTCGAATTGAAAAATGAGAATATTTAACCCCTGCGTCAGTATCTGTGAGCCACTCGTTGTCTTTGTGTCAGCAGTACATGAACTTGTGCTATGGATTCGTTTTGGCGCCTAAATTTGGCGCTCTCACACAGGAGATGAGCAAGTTGGGAATAGTACTATTTTTGTCTGAGACGGTGACTTTTTTTTTGCCTCTCATCTCCTTTTTTCACATTGCCCCGGGAAATGGTGTAGTCTTCTTCATGTATTATGTATTTTTAGAGGGACCGAGCGGGCCGTATTTAAGCGAAAGTTTGGGCTGATGAGCAAAATGGGTAATCGAATGAAACTAAAAAGTTCTCCAAATGGCTACAGACGTGAATGACACATTCCCGCGCCCCATGTCGCTATCCAAGCGCTATCTATCTATGCCGCAGGAGCTCACAGGTGCATCTCTACCTCCTAAAGTGTCAGGCCACCAGCGTGGTATTGTAACGCTTTGTGTGGCGCATATTCTTCCCAGTGCTGTGAGCTCCTCGCCGCTGCCGCGGGAGTCGCTTGTTCGCGTGCGTTGGTGGGGAGAGGAGGCGCCCGGGAGTCTCTTTCGACCGAGTCTTCTATCAGGAGATGGAGAAGCTCACACGGGGCCCTCGTACTCACCTCACCGAATTATTGCAATGAAATATCCTGTAAACGTCCAGCCGGAGCAGCTTTTGGAATATTTCCACGACATGGGACACTTGACTCTGGACGTGATCGACCGAGACTCGCGGAGGAAATTCGGAGAGTGCTGGTTACCTCTAGATTTGCATAGAGACAACCAGGTGATGACAGCGGAGGAGAAACTGGTGGTTCTTAGGAGGAATAATGCGCTGTGTGAGATTGATGGAGAAAAGGGCAAAGTGGCGGGCTATTTAGCCGTGACGTTTGATGTTCAGTGGACAGAATGTGATGTAAAAAGGGAAGAAGACTTTGAATTTGTGGAGAAAGAGGAGTTTGTTACTGTAAATTGGGCGGAGGTTGTTGAAAATGAGGAGACAAGAGGGAAGTTTGAAGTGGAATCTCAAATGGTCGAGAAGAAGAAGCCGAAATATGATGAAGCGACAAAGAGAAGGAGCGTGAATGTGGAAAATCGTGACTTTCAGAGGATTCAAAAGCTTTTGGAGAAGGGGAAGGCCTTGCACCAGTCGATGGAGAGAGCTGTAATTGACGAGAAAGCTAGCAGCGAAGTGGCTGATACTGCGATAACGAAGGTTGCGGCAGATGAACAGAACAGAGAGCTACTAGCTGAAGCTGACGCACAAGCCTTGGCCTCTCAATGGGAAAAAGTGTTGACTGATGACGGACGTCTGTCAAGCTCCGAGAACGACAGTGAATTTGCCTTGTCTTCAATCAGCTCCAACTCCAGCGCAGTGCAAGAGAACCAAGTTGGTGAGTCTGGCTCCGCCTTTTCAGTTTCTGGACTTGACCGACCTCAGCAGCGAGAAGTACAACAGAGGATACAGCACCGAGAAGTGTTGAAGAACAGTATGAGCGCTTACAAATCCTTCCAGTTGGCGGTGAAACTTGAGGGCGTGTCGAATGTGAGTTTTTCCGTATTGGGTGGGAAGAGTGCTCCACTGAGATCCGATTCAGGAGGCTACGACGGTGCAAAGTTGCTAGATGGCGCCAATGTTACGCTTCGATACACAGTGCCGTCTCATTTCTCAAGGTTTTCATCTACGCCCACCAAGTTTGACCGAGCAGTCACGCGCAAACTGAGATCTTCGCGTTGGCTGGATTCGGTGCCTCTGTTGTGGGCTGACTTGAATGGAAATGTTCACATCTTTCAGTCCGAATTTGCTGATGACTCCAGAACGTTTTTTCTAAGCGGATATGTGGTACGTTGTGTGTACGACGTCCACAATGTTTAGTGCTCATTGTCACAATGTTGGTGTGTACGTGCTGCTACAGATCATTGAAACTTGGCTTCAGCCTGCGAAGAATGCCGAGCGTAGGCTTCTAGGCTTGTCAAAGGTGCCGTTGAAACAGCTAGCCGGGCTCTTCAGGTTCGTGTACAGACCTAGTCGATATGTGGTCAGCTTTGTAACATTGTGTTGTGGAAATGAACTCTCGTACTAGCTATAGCAAGGAGGACCTACTCAGTCTATTGGAGAAGTCACTTCCTTGTGCTAGTGTGGACGGCATCTTTCCCATTGAGGACCCGTTCTCTGGTAAGCTGGCTGGATATCTCCGGGCTCGAGTGTGTATTGGAACAGCAGAGCAGGTAAGAGACTGGAGTTTTTTTTGTCTGTAGCTATAGCTGGATATCTCTGCTAAGTGCTTTTGCTTTATTCGACAGCTTCTAACGTGGGCCAAAACTATTCGAGCCGTCGTTAAGCTACAAGGAATCGCTCGTGGCGTGCTGGCTCGAAAGCAGTTCCGCCACTTTGCTATCTTTCGGGTGGCTTCGACACAAAGAACGTCGGACATTCGCTCACGATTGGTAGCACTCTCAAACGCAGAGAACGGGTCCGACTCACAATCAACAGCACCAACAGTGACCACCGCAAGAGGTGGACTGGACGTGCCTGGCTTCGACAGTAAAGTCGATACGGACGAGAAGCACATGGAGTCTTCATCTGCAGATCGGGAAGGCTACAACGATGCATCGGAGAACAGACCAGCGATGCGCAAAATTCGATTTGACATTCGTGAAAGCTGGCGAGCTGTGATGCAGCAGAAGAGTAACCAGCAGCATCGTGGGTGGAGTGCTTCCCCACTTTTGGGATGCGAGATGCAGGGACAATTGGTAATTACAGGCAGCACGGGGCTACCAGGCAAAGTAAAGGGGGTGCCATTTGCACTGTGGTGGGATGCAGTGAACAGCAACTTGAACTCTTGCTTCATTCATACATTTCGAGCAAGAGGAGCGTATCTAACCGAGGAGCGTGGGGATCTGGCGTTGGTGGGGCCTCAGAGTCAGGTTCTCTTTGCATTACACGTGGAAAATGGGTTCTTTGGAACGCAGTCGCGCGAGACTATCATGGGTGAGGCGAGGCTGAATTTGTACGAATCATTTAAGAAGCGACTACCAAAGCGCCAGGACGTTGATGTCGCTATGGAGAATTTCGAAGTAGAAGAAGCGTGGACCGATGTGGATGTCCCAATTGTGTGGGAGAA